CCAACAGCACCACACACACCCGTCCAGGCAACAACACACGCATGCATATCGCATCGAACAGGCCTACGAACGACACGGCAGCAGATCCGTTAACACAAAATATTATCCCATAAGCCCTATACCGTAATATTCTCAAGAGTGACATTAATAATAAGATGCTATTATTTATATATTATTCTAATATCATAATCTTATTACTTCACTCCATGATAATATCGTTCTCTATTCCCGGGTAAAAGTGTAACAGCGGGCGTGATTCTCGAGATCTATATCTCAATTTCAAATATCTAATTCAGAATTTAACAAAGTCTTAATTTCCGCACAATTACCTAGCATGCAGCAGGTAATAGTCCGATATATTAACCATATTAATTAGGGGATTGTTTCTAAAATGATTAATTTGGCCGAATTTAACTAAGTGCAGCGAGACATGCGTCACTCGCCCATACCATCGTCGTCCAACAATAATATAAAAGCTTGTATAGTAGTATCGCATTATCAAGAAGCTATATAAATACATGTATATATAGTATATATATATACTATATATATATATATATATATATATCTGCTTAATAACTTGGCGGTTCTCGAGATGAAATTGCTGTGCGATCGTGTGGTGTGCTGCTTACCGCTGGCAGGGTGTTTGGCGACGAAACACTGGCTGCTTGTCCACACAGATGCCGACGGCCGAGACAGTAGAAGACTGTCTGGAGGCATGGTCTACGAGGGCAATCGTCTCCTATATATGTCCATGGCTCAACCCGCTGTGGCCCCAGCACCAAACAGAAAGGTAAGTGTGTGTGGCGTGCGTTGCGTACGTGGCGTGGTGCGTGCGTGTTGGGTGGTGTTTGTGTGTGTGTGTGTGTGTGTGGTGGCGTGGTGCCGTGCGCGTGTGTGTGCGTGTGTGCGATGCGTCGTGATGTGTGTGCGTGACGTGTGTGTGTGGAGTCGCGTGTTAATGTGCGCCGTGCCGTGCGTGCAATGTGTGTGTGGCGCGGCGTGCTTGTACGTATGTGTGCTGCGTGAGCCGTGCGTGTGTACGCGTCGTGTGCGCCGTGCGTGGCGTGCATGTGTGTGTGCGCGCGTGTGGACGTGTGTGTGTGCGTGAAGATAGATAGATAGATACGCGTAGTAGATGACAGACAGATGAGATAGAGATTAAGAGTATGTGTATACAGAGCGTCGCTGAACGTTAGCAGCAAAAATCCCACATGGTTACACACGTATAACACACATATGAACCCAGATTAGAACATAATCGCAACTCTAACTACTTAACGCAGGATGAACCCCGCTAATATGTACTCAGCAATCATAAATGTCCTAAAAGCTAAAAGCAAATAAAGTAACATTGTGAGTAGTGGTTAAAATATAGTGGTAGTAGCATATATTTATTATATGCCTATTTATTATTTATATAGTACGTTATATGTTTACAGAGCATCCACTCTATGTGCGGTGTATTGGCGCGCAGTGAGCAAGGTGTCGCCACCTACGGGCGGTTACAGTTGCAGGTGGTGACCGTTTTGAGGCGGTTGGCACGATGTATAAAGATAACCGCAAGCTGAAGGGCTGCTGCAAGATGATAGCGTACGTCCAGCGGCCTGGTGCCTGCTCTGTGTGTGTGTGTTTGTCCCTCTGCATCTCTCCCGCTCTCGCTTTGTCGTTTCTCTTCATATCTCTCGCTCTTTCTTTCATCTCTGCCTTCTCATAATATAAATAATACTCTGCTCTCGCCTCATGCTCCAACACTATTACTAATTAGATCATTCGATATCTCTACTAATATAGATGATATTATATTCACTCTCTCGCTGCTCAATCTTTCATTCATCCTCACGCTCTCGTCTTTCTCCTTTTCTCTCGTGCAAGGTCATGGCCTTGGGCCATTACATTTTCCAATTTTAAAATTTTCCGTGGCCATGAGCTCAAGGCCACGGCCTTGAGTGCAAGGTCATGGCCTTGGGCCATTACATTTTCCAATTTTAAAATTTTCCGTGGCCATGAGCTCAAGGCCACGGCCTTGAGTGCAAGGTCATGGCCTTGGGCTCAAGGCCATTACATTTTCCAATTTTAAAATTTTCCGTGGCCATGAGCTCAAGGCCGTGGCCTTGAGTTCAAGGCCATGGCCTTGGGCTCAAGGCCATTACATTTTCCAATTTGTAAAATTTTTCGTGGCCTTGAGTTCAAGGCCATGGCCTTGGGCTCAAGGCCATTACATTTTCCAATTTTAAAATTTCTACATTACTAGGCCAAGGCCATAGCCTTGAGCTCAAGGCCATATCCTTGAGCCATTTAAAAAATGTTTACATCACTCGATTACGGTCATGGTCAACTTGTGTTTATATTTCGCCTAACAACATCTCGAAAATATCTTCCCGTAGTACTTGACAAGAATTGAACCCGGACTTACTGCGTACCAGCCCAGCACGATACGCTAGCACCCAACCACACAATTCCTTATATGTTCAGAACAAATCTATGTGTTACTTAACTACTTTACTCAACAAGAGTTTGAAAATATTTTACGAAGTTACCTCACAAGAATTGAACTCGGGCCAACCCGGTCCTATTCTAACATGTTACGCACACGCCTAAACTTCCAATTTCTGAGTAGTTCGGATCTGATGCGTGTGTTACGTCTTCGTTTAACAGCAAGAAAAGTAAACAAGGAAGTTATTGCCGAGCATTGAATTTAACGAGGAAATATTTATTTATAAATGATATAGAAATGCTTGTACAGTTCTTTTCGTGTAAACCATTTATGATTGATAGAACCGCGCTATATTTATTATTGTTTATACTAACAATAATAATAATTTATAATTCAGTCGTTCGATGCTAATTAATCGATGCAATATCCCTTCAAACATAGATTCACACAGTAAAATATGTGGTACTCGCCTCTGGATTACTTGTCCGCAAACACGGATAGATATGGCCAAACAAATTTGAAAGAAAAACAACATTACTTGCCTATATGCTTTAGAACGAGAACTAACAGCACGATAATCGAAGATTAGTACTTGTTTTTAAAACAATTTCAAAAGTGAACATTTCGCGCTAGAACAAAACGCGTTTAGAGGGAACGCTGTTTATCCTTCCCACAGGCAAATAACCACGCATTTTACTGAGTTTACTCCCTCCATAACAACTAACAAAATTACTAACGACAAAAAACAAACCCTTAACAAATATCGGCTATGTGATGATTATTCATGGATTTATGGGGTACGTTTTTTATGAAACTATAATTACTGAAACGCTAAACACACACATATATATACATATAAACACATATATAAAT